TACTACGAATACTACGAATACTACGAATACTACAAACTATTATTACTACTACTACTACTACTACTACTACATTACTTCTACTACTACTACTACTACTACTACTACTGCTACTACTACTACTACTACTACTACTACTATTACTGCTACTACGACTACTACTACTACTACTACTACTACTACTACTACTAGTCCTACTACTACTTCTACTACTACTACTACTACTACTACTACTACTACTACTACTACTACTGCTATGACTACTACTACTACTACTACTACTACTACTACTACTACTACTACTACTACCACTACTACTATTACTACTATTACTACTACTTCTTCTACTACTACTACTACTGCTATGACTACTACTACTACTACTACTACTACTACTACTACCATTTCTACTACTATGTGGTGCGTGGCGGCGACGGCGGATGCGACGATGTGGCGACGGCGGCGGCGACGGCGGCGGCGACGGCAGCAACGACCCTGGTCCCGAGACGGGCGGCCGCGACGGACGGCGACGGGCGGCAACGCCCGCAAAGGCCGCCCCTGGCCCCGAGATGTTTAAGCCAAGTAAGAACCCGTAAGTGCAAGCACTGTTTTCGGGAAAATACATACGTAACAGTACCTCCGAGTTCACTGCATTACCTTACACTCCATTACAATACAATACAATACATCACATTACATTACATTACACTGCGCTCGAAAACATGTCATTACATAGCATTACATGACATGGCATGGCATGGCACGACATGGCATGGAATTGGAATACAACATTTTACAACACACTACATTACATTATACCACAGTATAGTACACTCTATTACAATAAAATACATTACACGACATTGCACTACATTACATTACATTACATTACATTACATTACATTACATTACATTACATTACATTACAGCACAACACATTACATTGCATTTACATGCACATTCACAACGCATTACATTACAACACATACATACATGCATGCAGGCATGTATACATATATCTGTTTTGAGGGAAAAGAAGAGAGCGGTCACCGAACAATCCGCTGCCCCTCATGGGGGCTAACGTGCTCCAGACGTCCAATGCAGCTCCCGCGCAGAATATATAAACGACATCAGAGGCAATCCAAAATCTCGCGTGTGCGTAGACCCGCATAGGTGGGCGGCTCGCGCACGGAAGCCCTCGCGAGCAGTATCGACCAATGACACACAGAAGACAAAAGGGAAGGGGAAGGAGGAAAAGACACAAATAGGCCGCGAAGCATTTGAGCAGCCATTGCCAATGCCTAACGCCAGACCAAGTGTGGCCAGCGGGCCCCTGGTGAAGAATATCACCGAAGTGCAGCGAGTAAGATGTAGTCCTAGACATGCCCATGCAAAGGGAACGAAGGAAGGAGGGAGGGAAACGGGGGGGAAGGCGGAAAACGGGGGGGAAGGCGGCTCTTTCAAGTCGATTCCCGCCGCTCGGTGTGCGGCCGTCGTGCCGGCGTGGACGGCCTGCCCGAAGAAAGCAATGCGGGCTGGCGATTCCCACCCCCTGCGAGGCAAAGGACAGCCACCCGTGACAATTATTGCCCGGGTGTGGCGGTAGCTGCTTGCTATGAAGTTGTTCTGCAATCCCACCACTATTGGCTGAATTACGGGCCCCCAGGCCGGCTCAAACAAACTACGCCACGATTGAAACAAGGAGGGGGGGAGGAGTGAAAGCGGAGGAGGCGGAGGCGGAGGACGAGGACGAGGAGAGGGGCGGCGAGCGGTCGTCTTGGCCAACTGGCCTCGGACCGTCAGGCCTCGTCTGACCGGGCCCCAAATCGGCACGCCAACACCAACAAACACGCACAGAAATCGAAGAAGGACAAGGACGAGGACGAGGAGAGGGGCGGCGAGCGGTCGTCTTAGCCAAGTGGCCTCGAACCGGCAGGCATGCATACATATATACATGCGAATACCTGTGTATAGTATGTGAACCCAAAACCGCCAGCCAACGCACGGGGCGCCCACGAGCAGCAACAAAGCGAAGACCCTGAAACTCATGTCAGCGCACAAGGCGCCCACGAGGCGCCCACGGGCGGCGGCGGGGCGACACAACCTGACTGGAAAAAAAACATCCAGCGCACGAGGCGCCCACGAGGAAACCCGAAAACACATAGAAATATCGAAGCATTGGAACAACGACCCCTGAATGCAAGCACTGTTTGGTCAACGAATGCACAAATCATGATTGTCGAAGTTCCGCGCAAATTTGCTCTCAGGTCGGAGCTGGACCGCTGGACCCCCTCCCCAGGCGCGCGGAGCGCGTCAGAGGCGCCGTGGGAGGCACCGCCGGCTTGTGGGGCGAGGTATCCAGCGCCACACAAGAGCCCGCACGGAACTCCAAGAGTTCCTGCAGACGCAGTTCGTTGTGCGCAGGATGATCCAGGACAGTCCACCTCGTTCGCCTGCACCCACGGGCCCAGCACCCACAAGTCTTGGACCCGCTGGCCACCAGAGCCAGTCTTATTCGGCACTGTCCGACACCCTGGGCCCACGCGTCGCTGTCTAACGTCTTTGGCCTGCAACAATGTCTTCTGCGGCCATTACCGATGCTCGAATTCCAAGCTTCTGGGCATGCCCTTCCTCTTCCGCCTCTTCTCCCTCGCAATCAGAGAGAGCGCGTTTCACGGGCGCTTGCCTTGGGAACATTCTGCGGCGCGTTTCAAACCGGGGGGTGGGCCCCCCCCCAACACTCGGCGCCGTCGATCAGAACCACGGGGACTCCCCATCCCCCTAAACCCCCCCCCTCCCGAACCCCCCCCCTCCCAAGGGGGGGGGTTCGAACCCCCCCGCCGGCGACAGCCGGCGCTGGCGGCCGCCAGCAGCGCCGACGCCGGAGACGCAGCGACGATGACCAGAGGCAGCCCCGGGGGGGGGGGTTCAACCCCCCCCCTGCGCCGGCGCCGGCGCCGGCATTGGGGGCGGCCAGCAGCGCCGACGGCGGGGACAAAGCGACGATTACCACCACTACCACCACCAACACCGTCACTTCCACCATCATCACCACCTCAACCCACCACCACCACCACCAACCCACCACCACAACCACCACCACCACCAGCCACCACCACCACCACCACAACCACTGCAACCACCACAACTCACCACCACCACCACCGCCACAAAGACCCACCACCACTACCACCACCACCACAATCTACCACACCACCACCACCACCGCCACAACCACCACCACTACCAGCAGCACAACCCACCACAACCACCACAAACCACCACACCACCACCACCGCCACCACCACCACCAGAACCACCAGAACCACCTCCACAAACCACCGCCACCACCACAACAAACCACCACGACCACCACAAACCACCACCACACCACCACCACACCACCACCAAACCACCAGCACCACAACCACTACCCACTACCACCACCACCACCATCACCACAAACCACCACCACACCACCACCAAACCACCAGCACCACCACCAACCACCACCACAACCACCACCACCACAACAAACCACAACACCACCACCACCACCATCACAACCACCACCACCACCACCACCACAACCCACCCCCACCACCACAAACCACTACACACACCAACCCCACCATCCACCACCACAACCACCACCACAAGCAAACCACAACACACCACCACCACCACACACCACCACCACCGCCACCACCACCACCAACCCACCACCACAACCACCACCACCACCACCAACCACCACCAACCCACCACCACCATCCACCACCACAACCACCACCGCAACAAACCACCACACCACCACAACCACCACCACCGCCACCACCAACACCACCAGAAAAAACCCACCACCACCACAAACCACCACAACCACCACAAACCACCACACCCACCACCGCCACCGCCACCACCACCTTAACCACCACCACCAGAAACCACCACACCACCACCACCCACCACCACCACCACCACCACCTTAACCACCACAACCTGCCAGCACAACCACCACAACAACCACAACCACCACCAACCACACCACCACCACCACCACCACCACCGCCACAACCACCACCACCACCACCACCACAGCCCACCGCCACCATTACCACCACCACCACCACAACCTCAGAGAGGCCCCAAGAGACGCCCAAGAGGCGCCCAGGAAGCTGCACAAATGCCTTTCAGAGGCCCCCGAGAGCCCTCCGACGAGACCCCAAGAGGCATCCATTTGGACTCTGACTCAAAACCAAGGCACGGTGGCGGAGTGTCGTCGTCGTCATCGTCGTCGTCGCCGTCCTCGTCGACGCTCCCCGCCGCCGCACGCCCGCCGTCGCCGGCGCCGGCCCAGAAAAGGAAGTCGTCGTCCCCGCCGCCGCCGCCAGCCGCCGCCGACGCAGGCGCTGGCCCGAGGAGAGGGAGAGAGGAGAAGTAGGTTAAGGGAGGAGGAGGGAGGGGGGGAGGGTCGAAACCCCGCCCCCACCTCCGTCACGGGAGGGGGGGGGGTTCGAACCCCCCCCCCTTCCATCCAGGGGGGGGGGGAGGGGGTACAGTTCCAACCCCCCCCCCTCCAAGCGACCACAGAACGCGCTCTTTCCAATCACGACCAAGATTTCGACGGATTTTGTCCGACTCCGCGGGCCCCACCTGTCTCGAACCCATCCCCCATGGGCAGTTCGCCGCCGAAGGTCAAATGTTAATGGCCGCAAGGCCCGAGAACGGCCCACAGTCTGCAACGAAGGAAGAACGCCGAGACTGAAAACATCGGCTACACGCAAGAGTGACCCTGGGTAAGAGTGACCTTTGGTGCGCGGCGTTTGGGGGGCCGCGGGGGGACCAAACTCAGGCGCGCAAGACGCTACTATCGCATCGCAATCGGTGATCGGGGGACCCCATTGTGCCCGCACCAAAGGTAACTCCAGCGAAAGGTCACTCTCACGTGTAGTCGAGAACAACAAAATTGCCCGACTTCCGAGCACGACGACGGGCGGCGCCGACAGGATCTCCCGGGAGTCGTCGAACACGCGCAGCACCACGCCGCCGTCGGGCTCCCCCCCCTGCGGGGGCTCCGGGAACACCCAGTACCTGAGGAGCGGCGCGGGAGGCTGCTGGCGGCCCCCTCGTGGTCAGTCCTCTCCCTCTTCAATCCCTCTTCCTGACGAACACCTCCTCCTCCTCCTCCCCTCCTCCTCCTCCTCCTCCTCCTCCTCCTCCTCCTCCTCCTCCTCCTCCTCCTCCTCCTCCTCCTGGCGTGCCATCCGGCCGGGCGGGGCGCTTCGCTGGAGACCTGGCCACCACTTGCTACAGTGGCACCTGAGGACTTCCCTCAGGTGCACGGGCGGAGGGCGAAGCGTTCTCACAGTGAGCCTACCGCCGTGGCGACGCGCAGACACGCGGCTCGAATACCGCTGCTGCACGCTGCCCGGACGAGGGGCAGCTCGTTCTCCAACCGGGGCCCTCGCCGCGGCGCGTCGCACATTTTTTTGGTCGGCGGGGCGAGAGCGAACCTCTTCCGCTAAAAGCAATCCGACCATTTACACGGGTGGGTGACGGATGCGCCTCCCAAAGTGGGGACCGTCGCCGTGGCGCCGCGCAGGCGCTGGTCCCCAATTCCCCAGGGCTCCACGGATGCAGGGCGGGACCTCTTGGCACACGGAGCTCGCGCCCGAGACCCCCAAGCGGTGTGAACCCCGAACAGCGGGCTATTAGGAGGAGGAGGAGGAGGAGGAGGAGGAGGAGGAGGAGGAGGCGGAGGCGGAGGCGGAGGAGGAGGAGGAGGAGGAGGAGGAGGAGGAGGAGGAGGAGGAGAGAGGGAGGAGAGAGGAGGAGGAGGGGGGAGGAGGAGGAGGAGGAGGAGGAGGGGAAAAGGAGGAGGAGGAGGAGAGGAGGAGGAGAAGGGGAGGAGGGAGGAGGAGGAGGAGGAGGAGGAGGAGGAGGAGGCACCCTCGATGCAGAAGAGGTGTCAAAATATGTACGGATGGCCAGCCACGTCAGCGGAAACTGCATGGTGCGAGCCGTGGCATGCAGCACACGTGGCGCAAGCCACGTGGTGTGCATGCTGTGCGGGCACTCTTTGGTGAGAGCTACGTGGAGGAGGAGGAGGAGGAGGAGGAGGAGGAGGAGGAGGAGGAGGAGGAGGAGGAGGAGGAGGAGGAGGAGGAGAGGAGGTAGGAGGGGGGGAGGAGGAGGCGGGGGGAAAGGCGGAGGCGGAGGGGGAGGAGGGGAGGAGGAGGAGGAGGAGGAGGAGGAGGAGGCGGAGGCGGAAGCGGAAGCGGAGGCGGAGGAGGGGGAGGAGGAGGAGGAGGAGGAGGAGGAGGAGGAGGAGGAGGAGGAGGAGGAGGAGGAGGAGGTCTACGTGGTGCAGTCTATGTGGTACAGACTCCGCGGGGGCACGCGAAACGCCCATGGGCGGCCGCCCACGGGACAGTTGCAGCCCACGTGCGGGCATCAGGCGAGGCCCTGCCAGACCCACCCAGCGTACTTGCGCGCACGCCAGGCGCCAGCGGGCGGCCACCAAACCGACACCAAGCGAACGAAGGGGCCCTGGGACACACAAATAAATAGACACAAGCAGCAGGATTCCCCGTATTTTCCCAGATGTGTTGGGTTTTTGTCTTCACCCCCACTTCCCATATCTTCCCATATGTTCGGAGGAATGGACGATGAATTGTGTCTGTGTTTTTTCCCCTCCTGAGTTGAACCCGACCGATCTCTGAGGTCTGGGGTAGCGAGCACGACCCCCGCAGTGCAAGCACTGTTTGGGAAATGACTTCAGGCATGCGCAGAAATATATCGTGCAGCAGGTACAACAGGTACAAATGAAGGGGCCCCAGGACACACAAATAAATACACACAAATAAACATATTCCCCATAGTTTCCTATACTTTCTAGGTTTTTGTCTTCCCCCCCACTTACCATATTTTCCCATATTTTCTGGGAATCGACGATTAATTGTGTCTGTGTTTTTTCTCCTCCTGAACAAAGAGGAGCGCGGCTTCTTTTCAAAGCGAGATTGCCGCCAGGACTTCCTTGAACCATCTACCCCGCCCATGTCACACATCTTTCATCATCGTCAGAACCATCTCCACCACCACCAGGACAGGGTACCCGCCAGTCGGAAGAAGTACGTGGACGCATGAAGTAGGAAGGCGGATAAAGCAGGTTGGGTTCGGGCCAAAGGATTAACAAAACACAGCCGGTGTGTGAGGACGCTCTTCCAGGATACCCCCTGCACGCGGGGATGCGTGCCGCGAGACCCGAGAGAGGCCAACACCAGCTAAGCCCAAAAGAATCCATAAGTAAGCCCAAAGAGGCCCCAAGGCGGCCCCACATAAGCCCCAAAAGAATCCCCAAGTAAGCCCAATAAGAACCCCCAAGAAGCGGCGGTCCAAAAGAATCCCCATATTAAGTCCCACGAGGCCCCCAAGAGGCCCCAAAAAGGCGCCTTGCCAAGGCGGCCCCCAACACGCTTCAAGAGAGGCTCCGCCAGGCCCCCAAACAGCTCCCAAGGCGCCCACAAGAATCCCAAATAGCGCCCATGATGGAGTGGGCACGAGTTGGAGTGTCCTCTGGTCCCTGGTTGGATCCCCTGGGGCTCCCGGCATCTTGTCGCGTCACTATTTGTTTCAACCCGAAGAGGGCCCCAAGAGGGACCAAGAGGACCCCAAGAGGCCCCCAAGACGGTCTAAGAGGGCCCCGAATCGCTGAATATTCGGTCCACGACGCCCAGGACGCCCAGGATGGCCTCCAATCGGCCGAAAAGGCGCTCAAGGCGTCCCAAGAAGCCTCCAAGAGCCTTCCCAAGAGGGCCCCGAGAGGCCAAAGTCATTGATCGTCCTATGTCTTTCAATGCTTTTGAGGTCTTCGCCTTTTGGAACTCCCGACGCTCCAAGACGGTTGAGGAGCCAGTGCCTCCCAGGAGGCCCCAAGAGGCCCCGCAAGAGGCCCCCCCAGAGGCCCGCAAGAGGGCCCCAGGAAGACCCAAGAGGCCCTCGGGAGGCTCCCGAGAGACCCGGATTAGGCTCTGGAAGACCCAAGAGGCCCCCCCCCTCCTCGTCCAACTGTTGAATCTCCCCGTCCTCCTCGCATATACAGGATCGGCGGCACAGGCCGCAAGGCCTTCACAATATCTCGGCGATCATTGGCCTGTCGAAAATACGAGCCTGAGTAACCAAACACGCTAACCGCTGGAGACATCCCCAAAATCTGGGCGCGAACGGGCAAGAGTCCCCTCCCTGGCGGCTCCCCCTTCGGGTGCCCAAGTGCAATGCCTGGTACATACGAGTGACCACTTGGCTCTCGAAGAAGATGGGCCTGAGCCACCAAACGAACAGACTGCCCGAGACATCCCCACCCATCCCGACGCGAACAAGCAAGGGTACCCCCCTCTCTGGCGGCTCCCGCCTGAGGCATCCAGGTGCCACGCCTGCGATTTCGCGGTAGTCATGGGGCCCTCAACGGAGAGGGATCTGAGCCACCAAACGAGGAAGCCGCCTGAGAGGCATCCTCACAAACCGGGCGCAAGCGGGCAAGCGCCCCCCCTCTCTGGAGGCCCTCCCACTGAGGTGCCCAACTGCCAGAACTGCTGTGTCGCGGTGAGCATGGGGTTCTCAAAGGGAGGGGTCTGAGCCACCAAACAAGTCCAGGCGTGAACGGGCAAGTGTCAGAGCCCCTGGGGGGCTCCTCCTCGGGGCGTCCAAATGTCATGCCTGATACGTGTCGGTGATCATGAGTGAGCCTAGGCCTGAGGGGCAAGCATGAGTGTGTCTGCGTATGAGCGTGACCACGCGTGGGTCTGAATGTGAATGATCAGACTCATACTATGACAAATATGTGTTTATGAGTCTGAATACGTCTTGGAGTATGAGTGAATCTGAGGCTGGGGTCTGCGCATGAGTAAATATGAGCATGAGCGAGTCTGAGTATCAGCGGAACTGCGTGTGTCTGAGCATGAGTAACGCGAAAGCGAAAGGCGTGGAGGGGAAGTGAGGCAGAGCCGTCACACTGATTACAAGAATCACATGCTTCGAACATGCGGAAAGGCATAAAAACTAGAAGCTCGATCCCTCTCGTGAAGGGGAGCACGTCCATGTCCACGGCACGCGGCCTGGAACCCCCGGCCACGACCCCGTGAATGCAGGGCGGCGTTGCGCGAATGCCCCGCGCGGAGCGTGACCATGGGATCGCGTTCACATGGGGTCGCGCCTCGACGTCCATCCAGACCGCGAGGGCATGGAAGCATGGATGTGCACATGCTCGTGAAGCTCCTCCCGCCGCCGCCAACATGGACGCACCACCCCTGCAGGCCTGTGCTCCCTCGGCCACCTTCCGGGGCCCGTGCGGCCAGGAAGGTAACTACCACCCCCCTCCTCCTCCCACCGCCCGCGAGCGCGCCCCGCCCGCCCCCGCGCGGCGCGGCGTTTCGCGGCCTCATGGGGGCCCCCGCCGAAGGTCCCAGCGCTGCCGCGAGGGCCCCCGCTCCCAGCCTCGGGGGTGCGCAAACATGGATTAGCCATCCATGGATTTGGCGCGCGGTCTTCAAATCCATGGATCGGGGGAGGTCCCCTCCCCAAAATGCGGCCATGGCCGCCTCGTTCGGCGGCGGAAATCCGCGGTTTCACCTGGAAACGGGACCCGTCGCTTATTTACGCCCCCTTGATCCATGTTTGCGATCGCCTGACAGCCGGCGTTGCCCTCTGGGTGCGGAGGCCCTCTGCGAGGTCCGAACCTGGCCCCCTCCCCCGCCCTCCTGCTCTCTCCTCCCTGTAACCCCTGGGTGGCGGGACGGCGCGCCCTTGCCCGACGCCCTCGCTGGCTGTGCCCCCCTGGCCCCAGGGAGCGGTGGTGCCAGCCGCGGGGCGGTCACTCCGTCATCCCGACGGGGCCCCCCCGACCACGGCGCAGCGGTCCAACACGGCGGTCCCCTCCCCACCGCTCCTCGGCAGCCGCGGCGGCCCTCCAGGGCCGCCGGGGGCGGGGCACGAATCGGCCCTCAGCGCCGCCCACTCGGCGCGGGGCCGCACCGCTGCCTTGGATGGCGCCCCGGGCTCCTCGCCAGAGGGGAGGCGGGAGAGAGGTACAGGCGACAACCCCCAGGGGAGAGGAGGAGAAGGAAGAGGAACCAGAGCCGAAAAGCGAAGCGCGAAGAACTTCGCGCTCTCGAGGGCGCCCTTGGACAAGACGACGGCAGGAAGAAGACAAAATCGGTCAGACAGGGCTCAGGATCTCCGACACCTAGCGTTAGGTCGAGCATGTCCCCCTTCAGGCGGATCTGAGACGAAATATCAGAAATAGTCCAAACAAATACCCACAAATGATCAACAAATGGTCAACAAAAATCGTCCCCTGACTATTTGCTTTGAATTTGTTTGAATATTCCTCGTGTAGAGGGATGCGCCCGACTTAAACTGTGCCCGGAAGCTGTGTCGGGCGCCGCGGACCGTCGTTGAGCAGGGACCGACCGTCCCGGCATTCCTATAGTCCTACCACGAAATGTTCCTAGAACCAAAAAATGATCTAAGTACAAGAGCAAGGTTCTTGGAACATGAACCCCAGGTGTTCAAACAAGACAATCTCCGCCAGAAATGTTCTAATCGGCGGTGGACAAACCTCCCTTTAGCAAACCTCCCCTTAGTGAAAACGGCCTGGGACCGAAACCGACGGACCTGGACCCGCAAAAATGACGGCCGCGACGTCCTCCCGCGAACCGAAAACGGCCGATTCCTCAATCGACGTGTCAGGGTAGGTCTATCAACCTCCGAAACATTGTTTGGTAGGGCCAGAGGCGAGCCAGGGCGCTTCGCCACTGCTTTTTGGACACCCAAAATGGGTACCGAAAGAATGGGTACCATGCCCAACAACAAATGTTGTCCCGAACCAACAGCGGCCGCTGTTGGGCAGGCGGCCTTCTGTCTCGAATGGACACAGGCCGCGGCGGCGCGGACAGCGAGCCCTGTTCAAAATGAACAGGAACTGCTGTTGGGCATCGTACCCATTCTTTCAGTACCCATTTCGGGCGTCCAGATTAGACCGTCGGCTCCGCGGGACGCGACGGAGCCGGCTCCTTCCCGGGCCTGCCCCTCGCAGGGGAGAGGGAGGAGGCGAGGGAGGCCCAGGCCGGAGGGAGCCCAAGGGAGGAGGAAGGAAAAGGGAGGGAAGCCCAAAGAGGAGGAGGAGAGGAGGAGGAGGGGAGCCAAAGAGAGAAGGGGGGAAAGGTAGGAGGACGAGGAAGCCAAAAGGAGGAGGAAAGGAGGAGGAGGGAGGAGGCGAGAGAAAGGAGGGAAGCCAAAGAGGAGGAGGAAAGAAGGAGGGGAGCCAAAGAGAGAAGGGGGGAAGATAGGAGGACGAGGAAGCCATAAGGAGGAGGAAAGAAGGAGGAGTGGGGAGGAGAGAAAAAGGAGGGAAGCCAAAAAGGAGGAGGAAAGGAGGAGGAGGGAAGCCAAAAAGAGGAGGAAAGGTAGGAGGATGAGGAAGCCAAAAGGAGGAGCAAAGAAAGAGGAGGGAGGCAGTAGAGGCGGGCTTGCATTATCCCCACAAGGGGAAGCACGGGAAAGAAGAGGGAGCGGACCTCCGGAGGCCTCGAGCTCGAGGGGGCACCGAGCACATGTCTTACGGTGCTCGTCCTCCGGGGGGGCCTCCCGGGGCCCCCCTCCTGTGCCGCCGGGTCCGCCTCGGAAGTCTGGCCAAAGCTGGCGCAGAGAAAGGTCTGGGGGGCGCCAGGCCCTCCGGCGTGCGGAAGACATCGCGGTGGCCTCTCGCTCCTCCTCCGCTCGAGGCGCCCCGGAGGTCCGTTCCGGGCCCCGTGGGCGCTGCAGACTGCCCGGGATGGAGAGCGGTGCTGGGGAGGGGGGGCCTGGAGCTCGCGAGCTGGACCGGGAGGGTGGAGGGGGAGAAGAGATTATTGAAGGGGAACTGGGACACACAAATAAATACACACAAATAAAAATATCCCCCTATTTTCCCATATTTTCTGGGTTTTTGTCTCCCCCCCCCACTTCCCATAGTTTCCCATACTTTCTGGGAATCGCCGATTAATTGTGTCTGTGTGTTTTTTCCCCTCCTGAAGATTATCAGGAGGGAGAGGGGGAGACGGGGAACTGAGGGGAAGGGGGAGGGCGACGACGACGGCAGCGAGGAGGGCGCCGAGGGGGGGACGAAGGAGAAGGAATGAGGATCGGCGGCGAGCCCGGGGCGGGTCTTCCCAGAGGGCTCGGAAGCCCCCTGGCCTTCTGAGAAGTTGCCCCCGCCCTGCCCGAAGACGCACAGAAAAACTGCTCGGGAGGCGCAAGGGCTTCTGAGAAGTCCCGCCGCCTTCTGAGAAGGGCTTCTCCTTCTCTGATGCGTTCCCAAAGGGACGCCAGAGAAAGGGGCTTCTGAGACCGCGGCGTTGCACCTGAGACCTCGGAGGGCGAGTGACAGCGTCGTGCGACGACCCTGGGGGCGAAGCCGACCGGACTTGAGACATCGGTATCGCCCGTCTCAGAAGTCCCTCTCCCTGGGGTCCCCTTGGGAACCACAGGCTTCTCAGTTCCCCCCCCCTCGCTCGCCGCCGAGAGGACGGAGACATGCGGACGGGAGACGGAGGGGGACGGCACCCGAGGCCGGCCCGAGTGGCCGCACAGGGCGCGGGCTCGCCCGCCCCCGCCCCGCTGCGCTCCGCTGTGGACTTGCTCCACGCGCACCTCGCGCAGGATCCTGGGGCACGTGTCGCGTCGCTCTGAGCTGGGGCGCACAGAGACATGCCAGTACTACAACATATGTCCTCCTTGGAGGCGCGCGTCCGACCCGAGCATACAGTATATACCCATCTTGTAGTATGTCGCTTCCCGAGCGGTGTGGTCAGAAAGCGAACGCCACGACGCATGTACTGCAAGAGTTCTCGGTGCACGCGTCGCCCCTGGGGGGGGCGACGCACACATAGTATTGGTATGTTGGGGTGACGCCGATGCCCAGGAGACAGCGGCGCTCCCCGGCTCCGCCCTGTACTACTGCGACGGCGGCTCCGTGTCAAAAGTTTGGCCGGAGGGTTCCGGCGTGTCCGGTGTGGATCCACGGGGGCACGCGGTCCCGATGGCCGCGCGCTGACTTACCACGCTTGCTACACGAGTCGCGATTGCCAACCAAGCCCAAGTAGAAACGATCAAACACGTCATCGCTATCCACGCTGATCCCGCCGCCACGGCCAAAAACTGGATGCTTGCGTGATCCCGCCTCGGCGCAGCCATGGGCCCGCGCGACCGTTTCCCCGATACGTACACTGAAGGCGAGCGCATCAGAATCGGCGCCTAAGCCATGGATAGGTGACCACATGTGAACCCTACCCCCACCCCCCACGATATCTACGAGGGGGTCGGGGTTCATTTCGCTCGGGAGGTCCCGAACGAAGTGAACCCCAACCCCCCACTAGAAATCGTGCGGGGTGGGGATAGGGTTCACATGTGGTCACCGAATGGACGATCAGCCCGTCACGGCCTCGACTGCCGCTGGAACCGGTGAGGCCAGCCAGACGGAGGAAAGGCCTGCCGTGCGATCGCCAGCCCCTTCAGCCCATGCCAGGCGGGGTCCCAGCCGTCGAGGTGGACGCCGCGAGCGCCCCGCCGCCCGCGCGGTGCCCCAAGCCACGCGGCAAGGAGGCGAGGTCCTCCCGGCAGCACGAGGAGTACCCCTACAGTTATGCTGTGACCATCCTACTTAAGGACCACACCCCAGAGATAATTTCGAGCAAACAGGAAACTATGAAAACAGTGTCGAACGAGTATCGCCTCCCAGGGCCCGACATGTGCAAACCCTCCTGTTTCGGTACTTCCCTGGTGCTCGAAATCATGTCTGGTGATCAAGGCCAAGTCGGTTGGAACATCGTACCCCTACAAGAAGAGGCTCCGCTCCCTCAGCGTGGTCGGCAGCTTGGGAGCACCTCGTCATCGAGGCGCACGAAACGACCCACTGCGCAGTCACAGCCTCCCTGCAGACCGGTCAATGGCATCAGTCTTGGCCCTGCAGCCGGAGCACGTGGGGAGCCCAGGAGCCCCCGCTCTGAGGAGCTCCACGGCGCTGGAGCACCCCGCCAGGCTGTCTTGACGTCCCCGCGCTCGAGCGACGTCGGGGGGTGCTCTCCCGATCCTGGCAGGAGGGGGCGGACACGCAGGACGCGGCTGTCGAAGCCCTGGCTCGCTCACTCCTCCACGGGTCCTCGCCGTTGGGGCCGCGGCACGCGATGGCACAGGCGGCTCGAAAGAAGGAGGCGTCCAAGGCTGCGGGGGCAATGGCTGCTGCTGCTGCCCCTGGGTGCACCACGTGGCCGAGTCCTGCAGCAGGAGGACCACCACGGCGTCCCCAGCCCACTGGCTGCACGGGCCCGCGGCCCGCACGCGTCCCCCCTCGAGGCACCGCCGCGCCGCGAGGCAGAACAGCCTCTCTCCCCTCCCGTCCGCACGCCCGCCGCCTGCCCGAACGCGACGGGCGGGCGGCTGGGCGGGGGCCCCCCGTCGACGCTGCCCGCACTTTCCGCCGCCTCGGCCTCCGTCGTTGAAGGGAAACTGTGACACACAAATAAATACCCACGAATAAAAGGACTCCCCATATTTTCCCATACTTTCTGGGTTCTTGTCTTCCCCCCCACTGCCCATATTTTTCCATATTTTCTGGGGAGTCGACGATTAATTGTGTCTGTGTGTGTTTTCCCCTCCTGAGTCGTGGTGTCTTGCCGAGCCGCCTCGGAACATCGGGCCCCGCTGCGGCTCGCCGCTGCCAGCGCGCCCCTGGCACCGTCGGGTTTTGGGAGGCCCGGTCGGGCCGGTCCCGTGGCGTCCGGTCCCCCTGCTTCGCCACCCGAGTATTCCGAAAGGGCGCTCTGGAAGAGGCCCTGGGACACACAAATAAATACACACAAATCATAGGATTCCCCCTATTTTCCCATATTTGTTCGGGGTTTTTGTCTTCCCCCCCACTTCCCATATATTCCCATATGTTCTGGGGAATCGACGATTCATTGTGTCTATGTGTGTGTTTTTTTTCCCTCCTGAGCTCTTCCTGGTAGCCTTCATCCCCGCCACAGAGTATGCCTGGTTTGTGCCCAGCCATCTGGTGCAGGCGAAGTGTGACGCTGGAAACTTGTGGCCCCGCCCTCCTCGACCATTTTGCCTCCACGGCCACAATTCCACCCTCCTGCGGGGAGGGGCCGCGCTGCCCTCTGGCAGTGAGGCTGCACACTGGCAGCATGGCACTGCCCACTGGCTACGCTCACCACGGGCATGCGGTCTGAACGCGCGCGCGGCCCAAGGCAGGGAGCCGCGTCAAACGTGGATTCGGCGCGCGTGGGGTCAGAACAAGTCGTCGGGAAGAGTGGCATCGGGGGTGCCTACTGAACAATGCAGCGTACAGACCCCGAAGCGCCTAGATGTTCGAGGAACGCCAGGGGAGAACCCATGGAAGGACCGTAGGGACATCGAGGCACTTCCGAAACCGAAGTGGACCTCATCTTAAAATGTCGGCCGCTCACTTCTCCATGGGCACCTCGTCGGCGCACCGTGCTGGAGGGTGCGGCGCCTTCGGCGCGCGGCGTTTGCCTGCAACGATGGTCGGTTCGGAGCTGTCGGCGGGGGCGATGCGCACGAGATCGCTCTTTTGTCCATTGGGGGTACGCCTTGTTGCGGGGGGAGGGTCGGCTGGGGGGGGGAGTGGTAACGACAGCCGGCGTGCAACCCCCGAGTCGCGCCCGCAGCACCGGCGCAGTGCCATCATCCCTGTGTACACGACAACACCTGCGCGCACCACAGCGCCTGTGCACACTCCAATCCCCACGAGGCCCAACCTTTGGAAAATCGTTGTGGGCCCGAACGTATCAAGTTCAATGTGTAAGCCTGGTATACGCTCAATATCCACCCTGCGGGCAGGCCCGAACCTATCACATTCAATGTGTGAGGTATGCGTGTGATGATTTATGTTTTTCGCATGGGGCAGGGGCACGATCCGACACTTCTTTTGGGCCCGCAGTGCCTCCGTGCACCACAGCGCTGATGTACAGCAAGATGCTTGCGCAACCACAGCACCCATCCCGTTTCGCCTGCGTTCATCGGGTCACCACAGTGCTTGTTTACACGCCTGCGTACACCACACGGCCTATGTACGCCTCCAATGTCCCGACGGGGAGCACCAACTCTGGATAATCAAAGCGGACCCACGAAGGTATCAAATTCATGATGAAGTTACGTGTGACTCTTGCCGTTTCAAGCCCAGCGCTTTCGTGCACCATAAACCCCAATGTACGACCCAATGAGTGCGCAAGCACAACAGCCGTGTGTACCTCTTCCTCGTCTTCCTCCTCCTCCACCTCCTCATCCTCCTATTTCTCCTGTTCCTCCCCCTCCTCCCCCTCCCCCTCCTTCCCCTCCTCCGCCTCCTCCTCCTCCTCCTCCTCCTCCTCCCCCTCCTCCTCCTCCTCCTCCTCCTCCTCCTCCCCCATCCCTCCTCCTCGCATTTCAGTGGATGGCTCTAATTAGGTAAAGAATCCCGGTACGATTCTCCGTGGGATCTGCTCGGGCACGATGGCATTGGGGTCCCTACAAGGCCCATGGTAGCTGCAAAAAAACACGCCTATGGCCGGATCCCAGGCGTTACCGTTGTTACCGTTGCGAGGGGGGTCTTGGGAGGGTGATGCGAGTTACCCCCAGTGCTTCCCACGAAACGCAGAAGGCACAGAGGCAGGAGGAGCGTGGCAGGCGCCGAGGCAAGAACGGGACTCGGAACGACCGAAGACGCTCGGAGCGGGAGAAGCACGGACCCGCATTCTGTGCCCGAGGAGCCGTGCGGAAAAGCATGATGCTGCAGAGGCGGGCCATCGGCCAGGACCCCTAATAATGAGTAGTCGTAGGAGGAAAGGTGGTCCAGGAAGAGGGGGGGGCAGGGACCAATGATGAGGACGAAGGCGGTGACCAGCACGAGGACAGGGGCAAGGAGCACTGGAGAGGACGAAGGCGAGGGCCAGCACGAGAACCAGGACCAGGGTGGGCAGGTGAACGAGTGACGAGGGCGAGGACCAGGACGAGAGGGGCGGTCCTTGAAGGGCTCCTCCCCAGACGGCTCGGGCTGATCGGCCTCGTCGCTCTCGTCGTCTGGGTTGGGAACAGCCCCGGCTGCTGGGGCCGCTGAGCCCGCGCCGCGTCCGCCGCCGCGCTCCGCGGCCGCGCCTGCTGGAGCCGCGGCCTGGACGGCCGGGTCCTGGGCAGCCGTGCCCTCCGCCTCCTCTGGGGCCGAGGCGCCGCCGGGCCTGGGCGCCACGGGCTCCGTGCCCTGGCCGGCGGCGGGCTCTCGCTCCTCGCCCGGCGGCAGGCTGGCGAGCACGGCCTGCATCACCGCGTCCACGTCTGCCCGGCCGCCCCCGGGCTGGGAGGCGCCGCCGCCGCCGCCGGGGACCCCGTCCGGCGCGGCCTCCGGCGGCGCGCTGTCGGCCAGGCTGACGCTGCTGGGAGCCGAGGGGGCCTCCTGCGACGCGGCGGGGGCCGCCGCCGCGCCCGCATCAGCATCCACGGCAGAGGCGTCCGTGCAGGCTGCCCCGCCCGCGGCGGGCGTGCCGTCGTCTGGCGCCTCCGCGGCGGGCGCGGCCTCTGTGGCGGGCGCCGCCTCCGCGGCGGGCGCCGCCTCCGCGGCGGGCGCCGCCTCTGCTGCGAGGGGCGCCGCCCCTGCGGGGGGGGGCGCCTCCACAGCGGGAACCGCCTCCGCCGCGGGCGCCTCTGCGGCGGCCGCCGCCGCTGCGGCGGGCGCCGCTGCAGCAGGGGGGTCCGCCTCCGCGGTGGGCGGCGCCACTGCGGCGGGCGCCGCTGCAGCGGGGGGCTCCGCCTCCGCGGTGGGCGGCGCCGCTGCGGCCGGCGTCGCCTCTGCGGCGGGCGCCGCAGGGGCTCCAGGGGCGGTGTCCTGCAGGCACTCTCCCCGCGCAGGCCTGGCCCTCCTCCAGTCACATGCGCCCGGAGATCTCAGGCCCTGGGGTCTCCACAGATTCAGCTTGGGGCCACCTCTGGGCGGTGCTCGAGGTCAGTTGTGTCGGGCGCCCCTCGGCGGCAACAAGCGCCCGTTTCCCTGGTGTTGCTCCAAACGCCGTCCTCCGTCTTCCCTGCTCCCTGTTCCTCCGCCTCGTCGCCTCGTCGGGGACTCCGTACCACCCAGATCGCTCTTTCGGAAACGCCTGGACACACAATATTGGAGCGGATATGAGGATCCTGGAACATAGACGCACTCTGAGGAAACCGACAGCGTACGCTCTGGTCGTATTCAGCCCCCCCAACAAAGCCCGGTGCACTGACCTCTCAACCTCTTTCCCTCCGCATTCCTCCGCCTCTTCTTCCTACCCAAGAGTGCACGACTGAAAAATTGGGGTGGGTCCGCCCGTGTCTTCTCCCGGTGTATCGAAAGCTGTGCGGAGCGCGTAACACTTGACCTCGCGTAGTTGGCATGCGTCAGCTGAGAGGTAGGAGCTTGTGCACGAGCATGCGTATGTGAGCAAGCGCTGACAGCTGAGACCACGCGTGAAGCTGGGTATGAGTATCATGCTTCGGTCTCTTCCTCCTTCTGTTCATCCTCCTCTTCCACATTATCATCACATCGTGATCATCTTCATCAGCAACATCATCATCACCATTCATCACCAGCATCACCATCAGCATCACCATCACCATCATCATCATCATCATCATCATCATCATCATCAGCAGCAGCAGCAGCAGCAGCATCATCATCCTCATCCTCATCCTCATCAGCATCAGCATCAGCATCACCATCGGTGGCATCAGCATCATCATCATCATCATCATCATCAGCATCAGCAGCAGCATCATCATCATCAGCATCATCAGCATCATCAGCATCAGCATCATCATCATTGTCATCATCATAATCAGCATCAGCAGCATCATCAGCAGCATCATCATCGTCAGCAGCATCAACAGCCTCGTCGTCATCAGAACCACTACCACCACCACCGTCATCATCATCATCATCATCATCACCATCATCAGCATCAGCATCATCATCATCATCATCATCATCATCGTCGTCAGCAGCATCATGATCATCATCAGCATCATCATCAGCAGCAGCGTCATGAGCAGCAGCAGCATGCATCATCCTGGTCAGCCGTCGTCATCGTCATCATCACCATCATCACCACAACCACCATAATCATCAATATCATCATCCTCATCATCATCAGCAGCAGCATCAGCATCATCAACAGCAGCATTGTCAGCATCAACATCATCATCATCAGCAGCAGCATTAGCAGCATCATCAGCATATTCATCGTCGTCGTCATCATCATCATCATCAGTAGCAGCAGCACCATCATCAGTGTCGTCATCATGGCCCACCCACCCCTGGCAAGCTGCCAAAGCCGCGCCCAGCCGCGGCAACAAGAACCTCCAGAACGCCGACGCTGACTACACCGACGACGTCGTCGCCATCGACGTCGTCGACGTTCGCCATGCCTCATCGTGCGCGCGCCAATGCCCGACCACTTCCCCAGAAGCAATGTTCTACATGTTTGATGGCCTGAGTTAAGGAAAACTGCCCCATGAGGACGACATGTAAGGAGAATGCCAGGGGTGGCAGAATAGGTCCGCGCGAAGTCCCCTCGCACAGTCCTGTCGTTTGCGCACCAGGCCCCTGGGGCCTTCCCCAGGACCAGCTCTTTTCTCCCGAGCTGTTTGACAGTCCTCAGGCCCGGCGAAGGCCCCGCGGGAGGCCGAACACCAGCGAAGTATTTCCAGGACACGTCTTCTCAAGGACCCCATGTGATACTGGATGTAAGGCGTTAGCGCTAGGCCCCTTCTCGGGGCGGACGAAATGGCTGGGTTGCCGACTCGACTGCCTGCAGCCAGTTTTAGCGGTGGGCCGCAGTGGAGGCGCAGCCAGGAGCGGCTGGGAGGAAGGGCAAACCGCCGACGCAAAAACTACGTGCGGACCTCCGAATGCGCATGTAAAGAGGCTCAGGGGCACACAAATAAATACACACAAATAAACAGATTCCCCATAGTTGCCCATATGCTTTCCCAACCAACCTATGTTGTTGGGTCCTCGTTTTGAAGAGACGGTCCCCGCGTCTCCTCTTCATCCTCCTCCTCCTCCCTCCTCTCCTCCTCTCACGCTTCGTGGCCGCACACGGAGGTCCACCTAAGGCCCCGGTGGTGTGTACCACACGCGTCTCCCCCACCCAGTACAGCGCTTCATGGCCCCATAGGGAAGTCCACCTCAGGCCCCAGTGGTGTGTATCGCATGCGTCTCCCCCGCCCGGTACAGCGCTTCATGGCCCCATAGAGAGGTCCACCTAAGGCCCCAGTGGTGTGTATCACATGCGTCTCCCCCACCCAGTACAGCGCTTCGTGGCCCCATAGGGTGGTCCACCTAAGGCCCCAGTGGTGTGTATCACATGCGTTTCCCCGACCCAGTACAGCGCTTCGTGGCCCCATAGGGAGGCCCACCCAGGGTCCCAGTGGTGTGTACCACATACGTTTCCCCCACCCAGTACAGCGTTTCGTGGCCCCATACGGGTTCCGCCGAAGGTCCCCGTGGCGCAGTCCGCATGCGTTTCCTTCACCCAATACAGCGCTTCGTGGCCCCATATGGAGCCCCACAGGAGGTCCCCGTGGCGCAGTCCGCATGCGTCTCCCCCACCCAGTACAGTGGCTTTCGTGGCCACCTATGGAACGCTCCCCGTGGCGCAGTCCGGCGTTTCCCCACCAGCGATAGGAACCCGCCGAAGGTCCCCGTGGCCCGTGGCGCGTCCGCATGCGTCTCCCTCACCCAGTACATGCGTTCGTGGCCTCGTAGGGGTTCCGCCGAAGGTCCCCGTGGTGCATCCGCACGCGTCTCCCTCACCCAGCACAGCGCTTCGTGGCCCCATATGGAGCCCCACCGAAGGTCCCCGTGGCGCAGTCCGCATGCGTCTCCCCCCCCACCCAATACAGCGTTTCGTGGCCCTATATGGAGCCCCACCGAAGGTCCCCGTGGCGCAGTCCGCATGCGTCTCCCTCACCCAGCACAGCGCTTCGTGGCCCCATGGGGAGCCCCACCGAAGGCCCCCGTGGCGCAATCCGCAAACGTCTCCCCCACCCAGTACAGCGCTTCGTGGCCCCATTTGGAGGCCCACCGAAGGTCCCCGTGGCGCAGTCCGCATGCGTCTCCCCGACCCAGCACAACGCTTCGTGGCCCCATAGGAACTCCGCCGAAGGTCCCCGTGGCGCAGTCCGCATGCAGTTCCCCCGCCCAGTACAGCGTGTCGTGGCCCCATAGGGAGCCCCACCGAAGGTCCCCGTGGCGCAGTCCGCATGCGTCTCCCCCACCCAGTACACCTCCGTCGGAAGCCGTCGAGGTTCCGCGCCTCGTTCGCCCGTCGTCGCACTGCCCAGCGGCAAGAGCCTTGCCCGCTATCAGCCAGCCAGCTACTTCTCTTTGCTCCCCGCAGCGGACGACCCGCGCGCGTCGCTGGACCCCCCCGGGGCGACCTGCGCGCGTCGCGGGGAAGCCGCGCTGCGCTGCGCCCGCAGCCTTGGACTTTTGAGTGCGCGGGCAAAGAGGGAGTAAAAGAAGGGGAGGAAGCGGACGCGATCCTCGCGGGGGGGGCGCGCCGACATTGGCGTCGCGGCGCGCGGGCGATGCCGTCGGGGAGTCCCGGGGAAGTTCCTTGCGGCGGCCACGCCCAGCGTCACGACTGCTCAGAGGCAGTCATTCTCAAACTATTGACATTCATGAACAATTACAACATGCTTTGTCATACTCGCACTCATGCGCGTAGACTCGCTCGCACGCAGATTCATTCACAGTCAGACGCACTCGCGCTCAGATTCACCCGCGCTCAGTCTCCCCACGTACTCAGATTAATCGTTTTCGTTCGCGTTGTGTACCACGCCACTCATTTCGGCACACCCCTAGCACGGTTCGTTGCCTCATAGGGATCACCACCGAAAAAGTAAATCACAATTGCGGTACTCACACCTGTATATGGTTGGGTCCTTCGTCAGGCTAATTGGATTTTCGCCTTCCCTCCCACTTCCCATATGTTCGCATGTTTTCCTCGGAATCGATGATTCCTTGTGTCTGTGTGTTTTTTCCCTCCTGAGCATGTTCGTGCACTTCTTGGTTCCTCGATTGCCCCCGCACGGTGCGCGCACAGCATTCCCGCGGCCGGCGGCGGCGAGCCCGCCTCGTCGCCGCCGGCAGCGCTGGCGAGGCCCTGCAGGCGGGCCACCAGCTCGGCCTTGTTGCCAGACACCGGCAGGCCCGCCTCCTTCAGCCAGGGCTGAACCTAAACGGTGTGTTTCGTTTTCATGTTGTTTTCGTTTTCCCTCGTTCTGCTTTCAATCCACCTCTACCGCAAAACGAAGTCGAAACGAAAACGGCCCACGAAATCGCCAAAACACCGTTTAGGTCCAGCCCTGCCTTCAGCCGGCCCTTCAGCTGGACCACGGTGAGCTTCTCGAGGTCCTGCCATGGGTTTTGGTTGGACAGCCGAGTGGCGGCAGCCGTGGCTGTGGACCCCCGTGGCCTTCCCAGGGCGCAGATCGTTCGACATCGGCCGATTCCTGATGGGCCTGTTTCCCACCACCACCATCACCATAAGTTGGAGGGGGAGGGGGTCCTCCTCCTCCTCCTCCTCCTCCTCCTCCTCCTCCGCCTCCTCCTCTTCCTCCTCCTCCTCCTCCTCCCCTCCTCCTCCTCCTCCTCCTCCTCCTCCTCCTCCTCCTCCTCCTTCCTCTTCGTCTCTTCCTCCTCCTCCTCCTCCTCCTCCTCCTCCTCCTCCTCCTCCTCCTCCTCCTCCTCCTCCTCCCTCCCCCTCCAACTTATGTTGGTGGTGGTGGAAACAGGCCCATCAATTCCAGCCCGCTGGCGGCGCTCAAACGTTGAACGCCCGCGCGGCGGCTCTTCAGCTGAACGGCCTTGAGTTTCTCGAGGTCCTCGCAGGCGACGCGGGGCGGTGCACCGATCTTGCAGGTCCAGCGGGGAGTCGACCGCGCCATAAAGACGCAGGCCGTCGGGGGCCACCGACGGCGACGGCAACGAGGGCCCAGGGGGACGAGGATACGCCGCACGAGTCTGTCTGCTGACACCTGCCAGTGACGGCATACGCAGGCGGTGCAAGGAGTCAGTTGAGAGGCTAACCTCTCTCCCTACCCCCTCTCACCTGTTCCTTGCTTGCCAGCCCACGTATTGCGTTTCGGCCTTCCCTCCCTCATCCTCTCCTTCCCCTCCTTCCTTCCTGGACGTTTCTGCCATACCGCATGATGTTTCACTGTTTCACCGAGTCACTGTTCGACGCAGGTCCGGCCTCTCCGTGCGCTTCGCGCACATGGAGCCGTCCCGTTGGACGGATGTTTGGCCACCGCTCTGCTCCGCTCCCACCCCCTCTCACTGGGTCCGGAGGGGCGTTTCGCGGGTCGCTGGAATGCTTAAATTAGCCCAAGATCGTTCCAAGATTGCCGCAGGTGGCCCAAGGTGGGCTCCAATGTTGTACAAGATGGCCCAAGATGGATAGCTTCCAACATGCCTCCAAGAGGCGCCATGATCGTCCCAAGACGGTTCCAAGTGACCACGGGGCCTCTCAAGAACCCCCCCGAGAGACCAACATCCTTCGAAACCTTAGGAATACCAATGCGCGTTGTCTTCAGGCCTTTTCGCTTCCAGTGGGCTATGGATGCCTCCAGATTGGTTCCAAGAGGGCCCAAGGGAGCCCCAAGAGGAACCGAAGAGGGGCTCAAGAGGGGCCCACGAGGACCCAAGAGCGCTCAAGAGCGACCCAAGAGCACTCAGAGAGGTATGATTGTCGGCCTCCGAGGGCGGAGGGGCGGGCGAAATTAAGATCTTCTTCATTGGTTGGTGGCCTCCAAGATGACCCCAATAGCGCACCAAAGCCTCCAAGAGGGCCCCGAGAGAGCCCCAAGAGGGCCCCAAGAGGGCCCCAAGAGAGGCCCCAACAGGGCCCCAAGATGCCTCCAAGAGAATCCCAGCGCGTGACTGCATGCTGCTACACATCCCTGATCAGAGCAATTCGCCTGGTGTTTGTGTTGGATGGGCTGTTGGGGATACGCGAAGCGACACGGATATTCCTGTGCGTTTATCTGGCGGTGGACAAACCTCCCCTTAGTAAACCTCCATTGAATGAAAATGGCCTAGGACCGAAACCGACGGACCTGGACCCGCAAAAATGACAGCCGCGACGCCCTCTCGCGAACCGAAAACGGCCAATTCACTTATCGACGTGTCAGGGTAGGTCTATCAATCTCCGACGAGTCTCTTCGACATCTTTGTATTGAGTATATCCCTCACCCTTCCACGAGGCACCGAGGGGAATGTCCTCAGGTCCCCGAAGGGCCCCCTGTATAGAATCTAAGAAACTCTTGTTCACAGGACCCGCAGCATCGAGCTCCGCGCAAGCCTGGGCGCTCGGGGGCTCTCTCGGGTCCTGTCGCGTCCTGTCGAGCGCCCCTTCCAGCAGCAAGCAGCTCCAGGAGGCCCCCGCGAGGCCCGAAGGGCGCCCCAGAACCGCCTCCCGGAGCTTTCGGAGAGGCCGCCCAAGAGATCCCTGCAGGCAAGCACAGGCACCCGAGAGTCCTACAACTCACGACCCGGCCACGGCGGCGGAGGGGCCGAACGCCACTCGATCCGCCGCCCCCTGCGGCTCGCCACGGGAGTGCACGGCGTGCCAAACGTTCAGTAAATCGGGGCCCTTTGCAAGGTTACCAATGGGCCTTCGGCCGATCGCGCCGGCCCTGCAGAACAGAGGCCCGCCATCGACATTCCATCGGCTCTCTAGAGCTCTTCGGAGCTAATTTCGGGAGCCTCTGGAGATGCAGGAGGAGAGGGAGCAGGAGAAGGGCGAGGAGGAGGAGGAGGAAGAGGGGGAGAACGACGACGACGCGCAACCGGAGGTGGGTTTACTGCACGACTGTCCTCTCAGCGCTTCCTTGCGCAGTCCTTGAAGTACGGATTGAGATGCGAATTTTGTCCTTGTGCTAACTGTTGTGTTGCATTCCGGTCCCTCGTGCTTTCTGGGCCATGCCTCGATGCCCACCCCGGAGGGACCGAGGGGGGTACAGGGGAAGGCCAGGGTAGGTTCAGTCGGGACTGATTGCAGAGGACAACCGAAAGGACACAAGCCTCCTCCAAGGGTTACCCGTGCTCATGACATGAACTGGGCATGATTGCGACAGAAAAGAAATGCGATAGGCATGAAACGCGACTGCCACTTTGCAAGGTCGACCTACGAACAAGGCATATCCTCAGACCCACGGTGATTTGTTCACGATGTCTCGACCACTTCCCTGGGGAAAATTTGCCATCCCGAATCGTCTCTTGTCCGTGCTGGGCCCGGTAACAGCCACCAGAGGCAGAAAACTCCTGGTGATGGCCACTGGAGCCCGAAAACTGCCAGAACCTTCCACCGTGACGCTTCCTCGACGCGAGGGGAGCTGCGACTGTACGTTTTTGTAGAGAGGAGAAAGATGAGCCCTTAAATGCGACCCGAGGGCGTAATGCTCCCAAAACCCTCGGCAATGGCCGAACGTCTAACGCACTCCAAGGTACCAGTCGAGCAGCTTGCACAGGACACCGCTTGCAAGCCAGGCCTCGGCAGGACAGAACCCAGGCAAGATCCGACGAAGGCAGGCACTAAAAGAGAAACCATCCTGGACGAGCATCCAGGCAATGGCGGGTGCGAGGAGCACCGAGCTCCCAAGTTTCAGGCCTTGCCGAACACTGTGCACTGGAGACCGAGCCCTCCAAAGAGGCATTCCTTTTTGCCGCGCGTAGGGGACCACGTGCGAACCCTACCCCTACCCCCCACGATTTCTGAGGGGGAGGGTGGCGTTCATTTCGCTCGGGAATTCCCGAACGAAGTGAACACCACCCTCCCCCTCAGAAATCGTGGGGGGGAGGGGGGGAGTTCGCATGTGGCCCCCTAGCGCGGGCCCCATGCGCTAGGAGCGCCAAGAGCCCCATCACACGGGAAGCCTGACCGATGGGCCAGGAAACTCGAGAGGGGGGGAGCCAAGCCCTTGGAGAGGCCCGAAGAGGCGGAGGGGGGAGGAGGAAGAAGAGAGCAGGGCTAGACCTGACGTTGTTTTTCGTTTTGGTTTCGTGTTGTTGTTCGTTTTGCTCTACCAGTTTTCCTGTACCTCCCTGCCAAAACGAAAAACAAAACACAGCCGAAGTCCAGCAAAACTGCGTTAAGGTCCAGCCCTGGAAGAGAGAGAGAGAGAGAGAGAGAACAAAAAAAAAACAAAAAACAAAAAAAGAGAGAGAGAGAGAGAGCGAGAGAGAGGACGAGAAAAGCTAAAAAGAACGAACATTGATAGAGGCAGCAGCCAGGCGCTTCACAGCGCACAGGCAGAACAAAAGTACAGCATTGTGTGCATGATCTACAACTCAGAACTGCATGCACTACAAGCTACGGGAACTATGCCGAACACGGTAGCGCAGACGAGGAGGAGGGAGGGGGAGGAGGACGAGGAAGGAAACCGAACCTAGGGGCAAAAAAAAAGGCAGAAACATGAACTCTCTCGGGAGCGGCCAAGAAGGGGGTGTCCAAGAGGGGGAGGTGCAAATCATGACCGGCGGCATGTCCGCGGCCCAGCGGGGGGGCCAGGGACATAATGAAATAAGAGGAGGCGCCATGAAATCTGAGGAAATATCATGGCCCCCGCCATGATATCCAACCCCGCTAGTCATCACCCCCCTCTTTGCCGCCCCCGACTCACGGCGGTCCTCGCAGATTCCTTGGACCTGCGCCGGGATCCCCCCCTCCCCGGCGCGCGGCGCGCGCCAGGGGCGGCGCCGGAGGCGCCGCCTGTGGTGCCCGGCGCAGGCCCGACAAAGGCGCGCGGACCGCCGAGAGCGTACAGGGCAGTTTTTTATACATAGGGTTTTTTTTTTAGTATAGGATGTTTCATACATGATTAATGTATTTATAAATCAACGCCTAAATTCATCGTTTTTTTACTAGATCCCTCCATGTTGAATACATGATCCGCACGCGGAGCATGTATAAAAAAAACGGCACTGTATGGGTATGCCGCTCTTTCTGCTTTCAGGAGCCAGGCGAAGGCTGGCAAACCCGTGGCTGCTAAAACGGAGCTCCGGGAAAGTGTTGTCTCTCTTCCGTGGAGCAGCCCGTTTCCTATCTCGCGCGCTGAGCTTTCTTCCAGGAGTATGTGTGTCTTCCTTCTGGGAAGACCGTTTTAGCAGCCACAGATTTGCCAGCCTTCGCCCAGCTTCCGATTCTTCGAAAATCGGCTACACGCAAGAGTGACCCTGGGTAAGAGTGACCTTTGGTGCGCGGCTGTTGGGGGGCCGCGGGGGGGCCAAAAACGAGCGCGCAAGACGTTACTATCGCAATCGCGCTCGGCGGCCGGGGGGCCCCAGTGGGCCCGCACCAAAGGTCACTCCAGCGAAGGGTCACTCCTACGTACGTATAGCCGAGAAAAGAGGACAACGAGGACGAGTCACGGGGGAAGGAGGGCACCAACCTCCGCGGCAGAGGCCAGCGGCGGGCCCGCACCGGGCCTCTCGCGCCCCCGTGCCGCCCGCACGGGGCCCCGGAAGAGCCTCCCCTCCCCGCCGAAGGCTCCGGGGCGGCGATCTCTCCTCCTCCTCCTCCTCCTCCTCCTCCTCCTCCTCCTCCCCTCCTGATCCTCGTCCGGAAGTGTCCCCATCTTGTCTTCTATCTTCGGTGAGCCCATGAGGTCCGTTACGGCGAGTCGCCCCGCCGTCTCCCGCAACTGCGCCCAGACAGACCCCCTCGAGTCGTGAGAGAAGTCTCGACGGGAGGGCCACCTCCGCAGAGCCTCGCCCCTGTGGACGTCGCAGCCCTGGGGCACGTCGGGCTCTGGACAGCACTCGCCGCCCCATCGGATAGGGTGCGGCTCCTTTTCAAGCTGGGGCTCTCGTTGGACACCTCCTTGAACGCTAAGATTCGCGCTCCGAACAACCGAATCGGCGACAGGGATGCAAGACAATTACTCTGGAAGCCTCCTAGATAGGGTCCGAGCAGCTGGGGTCGAAGGATCGCGCCGCGTCACCGATGCATCGCCGCTGCATCGCCGACGTCGGCGATGCAGCGGCGGCGTCGGCGTGGGGGCAGTCGGGCCCCGCATCGAGCCGCATCGCCGACCCCCTCTCGGAGGCCCTGCTGCTCGTCGACAGGGGGCTCTCGCCCGAAGGGCAGGCCCACGAGGTGCTCGTGTTTCGGGGGGGGGCGCTTCTGACAGAGTGAGAGCTCCCGGAGACTTCTGCGGAGGGCGCGTGGGACGCGGCGGTATACTGCAGCATCGTTGACACGTCTTGGCTCTCCTCTGGTCCTCCCCCTCCTCCCCCCACCCGAACACTGGCCCCCGAAGCTCTACTCGGGCGCGTCTCGAGCAGGAGCTCGAGAGAAAGTTACAGCCGTGGTGGCGAAAACGAGCTCCTGCGGGCCCGAAAGAGGTGAAGAGCACGGAAACAAACTCCATCCTTCAATCGAGAAGCACAAGAACGGCATAACATAAACTCTCGACGGTCCGCGCGGATTTCTTGGATCCGCGTTGGACCCCGCTCCCCGGCGCGCGGGGCGGCGCTGGGGGCGGCGCCGGAGGCGCCGCCAGGGGAACCAGGGCAGATCCAAGAAATCCGCGCGGAGTGCCGAAAGTTTACGCTTCTGCCGTTTCTGCTCCTCGACGACGACGACGACGACGACGACGACGACGACGACGACGACGACGACGACGACGACGACGACAGCTCGATGCTCGGCGGCGACGACAGCGGCGGCAGCGACGGGAGCGGCCCGACCGCGCCGCGCCCCCGGGGCGCGCCCGGGCGCGCCGCGGTCCTGGGGCGGCGCAGCGGTCGCGAGGGCGGCGGCCGGCGGGCCGGCGGCGGCGGCGCCTCCTGCGGCCGCGCCGCGGCCGCCCCGCCGTCTCGCCCTAATCGCCGTCCGTGGCCCTCGTCCGTGGCCCTCGCCGTCGTCCTCGCCGTCGTCCTCGCCGTCGTCCTCGCCCCCGTCGCCTTCGCCGCCGCCGCCCCTCGCCTCGGCGGCGCGCACCAGAGGGGCAAGGGAAGGGGGGAAGGCCTCCTAGAAGAGGGCTGCTTCTCAGGAGGAGCGGGCCTGACATCTATGGAGAAGGCCCGCGCCCTCTGAAAAGCAGGCGCGCTTCTAGGAAGCCTTCACCCCTCCCCCTGCCCCCCTCTGCGCGTGGCCGACCGTCATCGCCTCCGTCTGTCTCTACTCTGCCGCTTCGCGTGTCCCCACTGGCCCGTCCAGGACCGATGCCCGTGCGAGCTGTCGGAGGAGAGAAGGATGCAGAAGAGGAGGAGGAGGAAGAGGAGGAGGAGGAGGAAGAGGAGAAGGAGGAGGAGGGGGGCGCCATCTCCCCGCCGACAGCCCCCAGCGCAGTGCACTGGCGTCCCAAGGCTGACCGCAGATCTGCCACCCTGCACCCTCGCCATCGCCATCGAGGTCCGAGGATCGAGGCACGAGGTATTTGGCACGCTCAGCCTGCCTGCCTTAAGACGACGCCAGGACGATGATAAAATCGGATAAGGATAAATTGGGCGTCGCTTCTGGTGATGGGGGGCGATAAATGGGGGGCAGGAAAGACACACTTCTCGGGCCCTACAGGCCCCCCCCTCTTAGGCCCCAAAGGACACCTTCAGGGGTCCTAAATGGCCCTTTTTCTGCAGCCCTCGCTGCCCCCCATTGATCGCCCCCCATTACACGACGCCCAAGCAAATCGAGAATCTCTGAAGTCTGGCGGCTCTGAAATATGACTCGGGCGCCGCGGCCTTCTCAGAGCGCTCCGAAGCACTTTGAGAGCGCTCGAGAGCGCTCTGGAACGGATGCATCCCCGTCCCAGCGCTGCCCGAGACCTGCCTCCTCCTGGTCGAAACTCGCCTGCCTGCCCGCGCGATGGTGCCACTCTGGGCAGCACTTGATGGCACTTAGTGGCCGTGTAGCCCCATCTGGGCCACGGGCATGCAGT